GGGAGCGCCGCCGCGCTTCCCAAGCGGCGCACTGCAGCAGTGCGCCACCAGGCCGGCCCAGTATGTGGCTTTTCATTATACTCAAGTTCACAACTACAGTTGACCCTTGAACAATGCAGGGTTAGGGGCACTGCCCCTGCTACCCCCGTCAGTCAAAAATCCATGTATAATTTTCCCCAAGTTGTGGCCGTGCAGCCCCGGGGGGGGGGGGGGGCAGGGGGAGGATTAAAGTTGGAGGTATGTAGGCTGCTTAAGTAGTTAAGTACTTAACTACCAATAGCCTACTGTTAAGTAGGCTACTAACTGAGGTATGTGAAGAATGCATGACAACCAAAAATTTTTCAATATATTTATTGAAAACCACATATAATTGGACTCACACTGTTCAAGGTTTGCTGTATTTTCAAACAAGTCCAAGTTTGGTAGGGATTGGTGAGAGCTAAAGCTCTCTTCCTGCAGCCCATGTCAACTCTGGATCTATCTTTGTCCTACAGGAAAAGAAGAAGCAGAGGCTGCTCTGGAGAAGGGGGATGAGAGTGCCGAATGTCACCAGTGGTAATAACAAAGTTCTGGGAAGAGCCAGCAAGGCCTCTACCCTGGCCACAGAGCCACTTTGCTATAAGAACCAGGAGAGGGAGCTCTGGCCTGTATTTCCACATGCCTCACCCTACCCTCAGCCAGGGACCAGGGAAGTTTTCTTTGGGAGGTTCCTTGGGGGTAAGGCAAGGTTCTGTTGGGGCTTGGAGAAATAAGTGGCTTTGTAAGACTCACCATAGCTACACAATTTGTGGGTTCAGGCTGGGACAATTTGCAGCTTCCCTGTCCTGCACAAGCTCTTCTTTCCCCTAGCTGCAGTCCCTGGCTGGTGGTTGACTTTGGCTTCTTTGCTTATTTTGCATGAGGAAAAGTGGACATGAGCTCACCCCCAGGAAGTTCAGTGGTCACTTTATTAGCTTTCAGAACATGAGCCCTTTTGTGATCTCAACATGAGGCAAAGGTCTGCCAACTTGCATGGGTCAGGGCCAGCCTATGTCCTGGTTCTAGCATCTGAGTTTTAGTGAAAATGTTCCTTTCCTTTCCCAATGCCACCCTTGCATTCCATATCTCTGCCCTCAGATTGTGAGCTAAGTGAGAGTCTGTTTTCCATCTATTGCTAAATCTTTGTCCCTGCAAGGGCTCTTCTCAGAGGCCACTCTTTCTTGGGCATCATTGCTTCCCTGGGCTCCCAAGGATGAAAACTGGCCTCACACTTCCTCAGCTATTCTTGAGGAACAGCTGTTGGGATTAAACATGGAAATGAGCCTCTGGAAGTGTCTGATAACAGATACCTCCAGATATTTAGCAAATACATGAAAAAGCACCTTGGGCCCAGTTAGACACTCATCTAATGCCAACTGAACTTCTAGGAACAATGCTGGAGGGATGGGGGTAGCAAGACCCTGTTTTTGAAGACAGAAGATGGGAAGCTGGCTTGGTCTCCTAGGGGAAAGGGGAGGATGTAGAGGGGATGGCTAACCGGTCTTCCTTCCTCTGCTTCTATTGGTTCCCAAATTAACATTAGAAATTCCTAAAGTATTCCATTCCAACCTGACGGTCCCAAAGATATGACTTCCCAAGTCCCACTGATATACCTATATACTTCCAAGGCTAACAAGACCCTCTTTTAATGTCCGCTCAGAAGACGAAAAGCAATGTACTCGGGTTCTCTTACACTTTGATACCAATTTTAAAGAACTCCTGCTTTTTGAGTTTTTATATCTGTGGCTGTACTCTTTACCAGAAAGGGGGAATTTGGAGATTTGGACTATTAAGTGTAAGGGAGATTTACTGTGGGGGACCCAGCTTTTGTGTACCTAGAATACTTTGGAGAATTATGTCTATCACTGTGTTTGCTAAAGAATACTAATTGGGACCACAGAAGAGAGGGAATTATATACAGATGAAAATTATATTTTCAGCTCTAGTTGAGCGTGGAGGGGTAGGGGGCAGTGTAGTTAGGCTGCAGGTGGGATGCCTGTTCCTTGCAGTGACAGTGCCTAGTCCTTGTCCCTGAGCTTGCTGCTGCTTCCATCCTTAGGTATGCAGTGCTTAGTGGTCAGCTGGCTGAGCATGAGGGCATCCAGAGGCGCATCCAGAGTGGCTTTAGCTTCAAGGTGAGGACAGGCTCCTCCTCCTTCCTTATGCTGGTCTAGTCCTGATTCCCTGCTCCTTCCTAGCACTCTTAGAAGGGCTTTCCGACAGCCTCAGTGACTAGCCTCTCTTTTTCAACTCTGATGTCTGAGTTTTATATTTGCATCTTCCCCTTAGGAACATGTGGATAAAGCCATTGCTCTCCAGCCAGAAAACCCTATGGCCCACTTTCTTCTTGGCAGGTGGTGCTACCAGGTGAGCCTCATTCCAGGGCTTTACATAATGGTCCTAAGTGTCCTATGATACTGATGTCCTTGCCAGGAAGAGCAGAGTCCTCAGCTTCCTCAGCCTGGTCTGGGTCAGGTGCCATTTCCTCTGAATGTTCATGTTATCGGTGGTTGGACTCAGCCCTGTTTTTCAGTACAGAATAGTGTTCCTGAAGAGACTTCTTAAAACCTTTTATTCACACCTTCATCTTTTGGTGGCAGGTTTCTCACTTGGGCTGGTTAGAAAAAAAAACTGCTACAGCTTTGTTTGAAAGCCCTCTCAGTGCCACTGTGCAGGATGCCCTCCAGAGCTTCCTAAAGGTATCAGGGAAGGGAGAGGTTGGCCAGGGTAACTTTTCCTAAGAACATTATTGGAACTTTTAATGGCAAGGGTTTCGGGTAGAGGGCAATTTTGTTCTATGGGAAATCAGAATCACCTGGAGAGCTCATCAAAAACAGAGATTCCTAGACCCTCTGAATCAGTCTCCAAAGTGGCAACTGGAAACCTCTATTTAATAAACTTCAGTCTGACCTGTATTTAGGAGCCTCTTACTGAAATGCCTTCCTCCCTTCTCTAGGCTGAAGAACTACAGCCAGGATTTTCCAAAGCAGGAAGGGTATATATTTCCAAGGTAAACTCACCTGCCTACATAGATGAAAATATTTATGTTGATGGTATTTCTGGGAACTCCTGGGAGCACACATACTCATCTTCTTCTAGTCTCCTGATATTTTTCCCAGGTTTTCACTGTTGTCTCTTCTCAGTGCTACAGAGAACTAGGGAAAAACTCTGAAGCTAGACAGTGGATGAAGTTGGCCCTGGAGCTGCCAGATGTCACTAATGAGGTAATACTTTTTTTTAAAAAAGATGACCGGTAAGGGGATCTTAACCCTTGACTTGGTGTTGTCAGCACCATGCTCACCCAGTGAGCAAACTGGCCATCCCTATATGGGATCCAAACCCATGGCCTTGGTGTTATCAGCACCACACTCTCCCGAGTGAGCCATAGGCCGGCCCCAGAGGTAATCCTTTTTAAGAGCTTTTTATTACTGGGTTCCATCACTTGAGTCATCATTTGATCTTTTCAGGAAAGAAAATCTTCACTTGGGGTCTTATCTCCCTAGGAAAGAGTCTAACCTTTTGCACAGAAGCCCTTTTGTGTATGGAGGATACAGATTTCATAGGCTCCAGGATATTCTGGCAAAGTAGGAACAAGACTACGATAACAGTTCAGGAAGGAAGCAAAGGGCCCCTCTTCTCAGGTACCAGGAGTTTGGGAAAATATTAGCTCAGACTTTGATCCTAGACTTGATCTCTTTGTCTCCCTAGGATTCGGCTTTCCAGAAGGACCTGGAAGAATTGGAAGTAATTTTAGGAGAATAATCACACTTCAATGGCCTTCGTGACTTGAGGGATACCACCACTTACAGGGAAAAATCAAGGCTTTCTTCCTTAGACCCTGCTGGGATCAGGAACCCAAGACTGATTTAGGGAGTATCTTGACTCCTGGGTATGACTGCCACCCACTACCACCCCCCAACTTCTTGTCTGTTGTCCATCAGTTAATTTATTCTACTCACTTACCTAATCTAAAATTGGGAAAGTACTTGTGGCCAGATTTTTCTGTTCTCCCCCTTAAGTGAATTCTTGAAAAATCAAGAATAGTCTAGCACTCGTCCTAGCGTTAAGTGTGGGTGGAGCCCTGGAGGCTGCTAGAGCTGAGAGGATGAGGCAGTAGCACTGCCTTTCAACTGCCGGAGAGGTAGATGAACTTCAAAGAGCTACAGGAACAAAGCACAGAAGTTGTCACTTTCTAATCTTTTTCACTGATTGATTAATATTCAACACCTAGTATACAGTCCTAAATCACACCCTACCTACTAGAGCAAAAAGAGGGGTCAAAGTAGCCCATGAATAATGCCCTTTTATCACCTATTGTGGATTTTATTTGTATTCCTGGGCTGAGAGTCTTGGCCACTTGATTTCCAGAGTTCTGACAGCTTTCGGAATGACAGCAGTGGCATAGGGTTTATGATACTGTGAAACGATGATTTGAATAGTTGCCTGGAATATATTTTGATACAAACTTGAAATAAACCAAATTTGATTAAAAGTGATTATGTTCTCCTTTCTGTTTATTTCAGTTATCGGCCCTTTATCTTGTTTGACACTTCTTCCGCAATTATTTCCTCCTACAGAGGTGATTGCAATACATAGAAAAACAGGATACTAAATAGTTTAGAATAAGCTCTTTGGTTAATGGTCTTTCCAATGAAAATTTTAATTACATGTAAAACATAGCAGAGAGCTTATTTTTAGCCTAAACAAGGCCTATTGCAACTAAGCAAGTGTTCCTTCCCCCTCGTGTTCATTCTTAGGGCCAACAGCACAAAGCCTAATTCCACCTAGAAGAAAGATTAAGACAAGTTTGTTTCTAGGTCAAAGTCACTTAAAAACCTAATAGGACTATATTGGGCCGGCCCAGTGGCGTACTGCTACAGTGCGCCGCTTGGGAAGCGCAGCGGTGCTCCCGCCGAGGGTTCGGATCCCACATACAGACTGGCCGCTCACTGGCTGAGTGAGGTGCGGGAGCAACGCCGAGGGTTGTGATCCTGTTGCCGGTCCCGGTCCGGTACGGGCGCGACACTGAGGGTTGCGATCCGTTGCCGGTCACGAAAAAAGACAAAAAGGAAAAAAAAAAAAAACCTAATAGGACTATAAGACTGACATGCTTTTATATAAGAACCAAACTTTCACTCCAGAATCTGTCACTGTTGGCTTTATTATACCATCCCAGGTTTATTTTGTGGTGTAGAAGTGAAAGAAGATGTGAGATATACTCAATTATGAGGATAAAACAATTTTTGTCTAAAACCTAGATAAAGTTTTTGGATTACTGCTGAGCACTTTGGGTAAGATTTGGATAGGAAGTCCTAACTAGTGAAAATAGAACTTGACATGGGGGAATGTGATAATGGGGCAAAAACTTAGGAAAAAAGAGTCCTGTAAATTTCATTTGGTACCTAACTTCCAGGATACTGACAAGGCTACTTTTATTTCAGTTCCTGATTGTTAATCTTTAAAGTCAGTGAACAGAATTTCTTTTAAACAAAGCTGCATTAAATTGACTTGAGTTTTCCTATCTCTCTATATACAATGGGACCAACACAGGCAGCAGCAGAGATTTTCACTGCCTTTCCTTCCAAATGCTAGCTGAGAGGAGAAGTCCTTTGGAATTAGAAGAGCTGGTTGAAACCCATCCCAAGTAGAAGTTTGAAGGGGAGGAAGTATCTTATATCCCTGAAGTAGAATAATCTGGGCAAGTACCAGACCTCTACAACACAAGACTTACGGAGTAAAAACAAAGGCCACAGGAAAGCCATGGTATATCTTGTAATTAGGTTGGAGGAAACTAAGCTCAATAATCTGAATGTAAGACTTTCTTCTCTTTCAGTTTTCAGATCTTAAAAGCAATAGAAACTGATCACCTCTGCCCAGTGCCAAAAAGATATTATGAAGACACTATTTTGAAATATTCAGTTTGCACTAGACTAACTTGTATAAACAGCACATTCATTGGAGGCTGGCTGATTAGCTCACTTGGTTAGAATGTGGTGCTGATAATACCAAGGCCCAGGGTTCAATCCCTGTACTGGCCAGCTACCCAATAAAACAATATCAAAAAACCAGCGCATTCACTACAAATAACTATTTTTATTAGCAGCCTCACACTGAATCTGCTCACTTAGCCTCTGAAATGCTTAAGATTCCAGAACTATCTTGAGTTAGTTTTAGCACTAAAAGACCAAGTAAGTAGATGGTGAAGGGCTAAAACCCAACAGGCCTTATGCAAGACTCTTTAACCAAAAAAAATTCTTACATGACACAGTTCAGGCATCCAACTTAAAAATCTGTTTCTGATTGATGGGAGAGTTTTACTGACAGTAAGAACCTGTGAAGAGACCCATTCCCTTTGCTACATAGCTCAGGCATTTTATTTGACCATTATTCAGAAGTGAGAGAAGAGCCGGGTTTCCCCAGCTTTAGTTCTCCCAGCTTTAGCTCTCTTAAAGACTAAGATTGTCCAATAGACAGCTGTCAGATTTAAGTCAGTCCCAAGGCACCATGTCAAAGGTATTTCATACCTCTCCTCCCCAAACCAAAGAAATCAGAGATTAATATACTCCAGAAGGAATAAACACTTCAGATCAGTTTGTAACTACTGACCTGTCTCCTGTTTACACCATCAGAAAAGCTGATATAATAGCTATTTTCCTGGAAGCCTTTTCCTGGCAGTCACAACAGGAAAAGGTCTGTGAAGAACCCCAGGGAGCACTCCTCTCCATTAGGCTGCTGCACTTAAGATTTAACACAGGAAAAAACCAATGATTCAGTCTTTGGCATCTCCCACTCCATCTGCGTTGATGGCAAACATAGCTTCAGCTTCAGGAAGACAGGGAGAGTCATAGATTTTGCAGATTCTGGTTTCCCCTCTTCCTTTCCTCAGGTACAGTCTGACCCAAAGACACAGACCAAAGGACCAAGTTATTATAACTAAACGATTCCATTTCTGACTGTATTTATGATAGAGCTAAAATTTTTTAGACATATATACTTCCTAAAAGGACTCTGGGGATCTTTCTGTATTTCTCAGTGCACTTCCAACCTGGAGGAATCCATTTTGCCCTGCCCCCTCTCTCTTAGTGGATTGTCCATATTGAAACAATTTCTTTTTTATATTCAGGGAGAGGCATATCAATTATTTATATTCATTCTTCCACACTTGAGGGCTTTTAATTCCTTTATGAATTAAAAGCAAACACTTGTACCAGCCAGAGCATGACAATTAGATTTAGCAAGAGTTCCTAAGTGTCTAATTATACAACAGTAGCTTTTAATAGGGCTTAAATGGAAATGTTATACCTTTATGTCTGTTTCACAGTTTATATGACATTCCAAGAAGAAGCATCTATCCCATTTCTTTACCTGGTGGTTGATGCATGGGCGATGATGTTTCCTCCAATAGGTTTTTTGGGATCTGCAGCAAACATGGCTGCTCCATCCACTTGGGCTACCACCTGGTTGGTGATTACTACTGCTACACCAAACTGATGGGGAAAGGATAAATGTCAGTTTTGTGGCCATAGACATTCCAATGCTGCCACCACTTTCCCCCATAAAGAAATAAATTACTAATGTCTCTCTTCTTCTTTTCTGATGCCTTGATGATATCAGGCACTGATGTCCTAGCTTCACAGCAAGGCTCCTGGAATTTGTAGCCACTGAAAGTAGGCATTCTCTGTCCTTACTCCTCAGCTTACCTCATCAGCAAGTCGCAGAAGCATCCGCAGAAACCTGGCCAAGTGCATCTGCCTGGCTGAGAGCTCCCCTCGACCTGAGTAGTCTGTTCTGTAGAGGGCGGTGGCACTGTCTACAATAAGCAGTGCATACCTATAGGGAACAAAAATTCTCTGAAGCTCCTGTTTCTAGCCTATGTCAGATTCTGTTCCTTTCCTCACCTCCCTAAAATCTCATATTCATAGTTATACTCATATTTAGATGCTTAATTAAAATATTTGTATAGCATTCACATCTGAGGCACCATTTAACAAGGTATGATTTCTAGCAAGATCAGGTAGATCATAGCTTCATTTTTTAAATAGTGACTTGACCAAAACCACAAAGCAAGAGTGAAAATAGGAACTAAAACTTAAATCTGCCCATGTCTAAGTTAAGCTACTATCAGTCTGGCCAAACAGCCTATACAAGATTCAGGGTAAGGGCTCTGGGAAAATATTTAGTGTCTTCTTCTGAGCACATACCTAGACTCTACCATCATGGCTGATGCTTGATAAAGGAGCTGGGTCTGGTGATCTGTGTTGAACCCTCGAGCATATGCTACATTATCCAGGACATCACTGCCAGAGAGGCCATATCTACAAGAGAGGACAGAACATTTTTAGGCTGTGCACAGAACTCAGGCAGATGAGAAGTTCATCTCTAACACTTAAATTATCTGGATGGGTAGGTTGGTAAGAAGTGGTGTTGACAGTGGTTTCAGGGCCAAAGGATATAATTCCCTTTCTGTTAGAAAGTTCAGGCAGGCTGCTCTGGAGGATTCATGCACAACTGATAAAGTATATCGGATGAAATCATGACCGGGTGGGCACTAGTTACTACCACACATAACAAGAGACCCTTGCCTGCAACATCATGGAGGACATGAAGAAGGGATCCTTTGAGGGAGCAAGCCAAAACCTACCAAAGTGTAAACAACTTGAAGCCAATAGACTGTACCTTAAAAATGATGCACCCCAAGCAAGACATAAAAAGAAAAAGAAAAAAAGAGTACTTAAATGAAGATGTTGAATTAGTTTCATGGAGTACCTAAGACAGAACTCACAGGTGGTTCACAATAGGGACATGATAGCAACAGTCAGTCAGGAACTAAGGGATGAAATTGCAGTTGCCTTAAAGAAAGACAATTGACGGGAAGGAAGATGATTAAAACGACAAGCAGCAAAGAAAAATGCAATGGTATGTGTCCATTGTAGAAAACCTGGCCATGGAATTGCAGGTTGCCTGGCTGCCCTTGAAAATCAAGATATGGGCACAGGAATATGTTATCAGTGTGGGTTCACAGAGCACAAAATAACTAAGTACAAGGGTAAAGTAGACCCAGCTCTTAGTGAATTTCCTTCTGCAAAATGTTTTGTTTGTGGGGAAATGGGGCACTTGTCCAGATCTTGTCCTGATAATCCCAAAGGACTCTATGCTGATGGTGGTGGTTGCAAACTTTGTGGCTCTTTGGAACATTTTAAGAAAGACTGCCCTGAAAAGTCAGAATTCAGATCGGATGGTCACAGTTGGTCGCTGGGCAAAGGGAATGAATGCAAACTATGAAGGAATTTTGGATGCACCTAAACCACAGAAACCCAAAACAAAGATACCTAAAGTTGTTAATTTTTGATGACAATCAGTACTTTGGTTAGTTACCACCTCATTGTTACTTTCCAAACTGAGCCTACTTCACAAATTAGAGGTGGGCTCCCTTGAAGCCAAGCCTACATGGCAGACATCAGTATGATTCCTGCATTCTGTCCATCAGGGAGTACTT